TAGCAAGGCTGGGACTGTTTATTTGAGATCTCATATAACTCTTTATGATGTTTTATACGTTTCTAGCCTTCGGTGCAGCTTGATTTCATTATATCAATTGCTGGATCGCTCCGACTGCACTGCTCAGTTTACTAACAAATCTTGTGTTATTCGGGAGTCGGGACCACACCTCGCAGAAGGTGATTGTCGCGGGTGAGCAGTTGGGTGGTCTCTACTTTTTTTCGAAAGACGATTTCTACGGCAGTTTCTTTTGTTCGGAAGGTTTCTGCCAATGTGTGGCATCAGCATTTGGTCATCCGTCCGCTCAAGTATTGTCCCAGGTTCCTCTTATTGATTCTAGTTCCCGTAATTTGCATAAACCGTGTGATGCTTGTTTTCGTGCTAAACAACATCGTCGTAGTTTTTCTATCAGTCAAATTGTTAGTCATGAGACTTTTCATTTGATTCATTGTGATTTGTGGGGTCCGTATCGTGTCCCGTCCTTCAGTGGTGCACGATATTTTTTTACTATTGTGGATGATTGTTCTCGTGGGACATGAGTTTATTTATTGAATGACAAGACGGAGGTTGCTTCCACATTGCTAATTTTTTTTTCTGATTAAGCGTCAATTTGATAAACTTGAAGTAGAAAGAGACATCACTTTGGTTGCGTGTTGTTCGTAGTGATAATAGAAGTGAGTTCATGTGTTTGACCTCTTATTTTCGTCGTCAAGGGATTTTACATGAGATATCTTGCGTAGGCACCCCTCATCTGCCGCTTTCTTTTTGGGGTCATTGTGTTCTGACTGCTGCTTATTTGATTAATCGTACCCCTTCATCGGTTTTGCATGGCAAAACTCCGTATGAGATTCGTTATGGCTCTGCTCCTCTATTGTCTCATTTGCGAGTTTTTGGTTGTCTTTTCTATGCTCATAACCAAGACCGCAATGGTGACAAGGTTACTACTCGGAGTCGACGATGTGTGTTTGTGGGATACCCGTTTGGCAAGAAGGGGTGAAGTCTACTTCGTCTGAGTCTTACTCTATGCACCTACCTTTTGTCTTGCTGATTTCTTCTGAGCCAGATGATGAAGAGCCTCTGGTGATCACTGTGCCGTCGGTGTCTTCTGACACTCTGTATGTCCCACCTGATACGAGTATGTTTGATGACAAAGGGAATTCTCTTACTCCTCCAGCGGCACATTCTCCTATGGTTGTGCCTTCTCCTCCGGTGGAGTCTTTATGTCGTGGTCATCGTATTAAGATTCCTTCTACTCGATTGAAAGACTTTGTGGTTGATATTGTCTGTTCCTCGACTCCTTCCCCCACTACGTCTCTCGAAGCGTGTTCGTTCTCCGGTACGCCTTATCCCAGAGCACATTATGTTTCTTGTGAGTCTTTCTCTCCAGCTTATCGAGCATTCTTAGCTGTTGTCTCCTCCGTTATTAAGCCTCATTGTTTTTCG